CTAATGTGTGAATATGATGTAACTGAAATGTGCTTCGTGCAAACGGTCTCTTGTAAGGTATCATTACAAAGCTTATAATCTCCTGAGTGTGTGTGTGTGACGTTCCCCTCTGGTGTTGTCTGGACCGGTGATCTGCTAGGTCACTCCAATCCTCGACTCTGGGAGCCAGCCTTACCCTGCTCTGCTGTGAGAACCCCCACTCCTGGGCTGTTCACGCACAGCCTCTGGCATGTAAGCTGCTCCCAGCTACTTGCAAGCGAATGACACTAGCGAATATCTCCTGTGCCAGACACAACCCTAGGAACCTCCATCTTACAGTGTCCAGTTATGCCCGCTGGACGCTGCAAGCTCATATAAATTCATCAATTTAACAAAGACATTGATATGTACCAGGCTTGTTCTCCCAAGGGAGTCTCTGACACACTGCAAACCAAATGTACTACTTCAGGTAGAATAAACATACACAGATTTATTAGCTATAAAGGTTGATTTAAGTGATTATAAGTCAAAGCACAAGAAGTCAGATTTGGTCAAATAAAATAAAAGCAAAACACATTCTAAGCTGATTTTAACATTTTCATTGTCCTTACAAACTTAGATGCTTCTCACCACAGGCTGGCTGCTCTTCAGCCAGGCTCTCCCCTTTGATCAGTGGTTCAGTCGTTTGGTGGTGGTGTCTGTAGATGTAGAAGGAAGAGAGAGAACATGGCAAAATGTCTCTCCCTTTTATCATGTCCTTTCTTCCCTCCTGGCTTTGCCCTCCCCCTTCAGAGTCAGGTGAGCATTATCTCATCACAGTTTCAAACTGACCAAAGGAAGGGGAATGACTCCCTCCAGGGTCTAACAGATTATTTTGTTGCTGCCTAAGCCAGTGACCATTGTTCCTGTGAGGCTGGGCTGAGTTTGTCCCATCCATGCCCTGATGAGGTGTGAACTGACTCTCTGCTCTTGGAGAGTTTTTGCATGGGTTTGCTAAGCCATGAGGATACATTTTCAGCCTCATAACTATATACATTAAATTATAACCTTAATATTTCTCCCCACTTCAGCCCCAGGGCAGCCTGCACCCCAAACCCCTCATCCCTGGCCCCACCCCAGAGCCCACAGACCCCCGCACCCCAACTGAACCCGTCACAGTGGGACCTCCTATTACTCCCATGCAGAATCTGCTGGAGGAGCAGGCACTGGGTGTTGTCACTGGTATTACAGCAGTGCCTAGAGGCCTTAAGCTTTAGACTCATAGAAATGGAGGACTGGAAGGGACCTGGAGAGGTCATCCAGTGCAGTCCCCTGTGCTGAGACAGGGCCAAGTAAACCTAGACCGTCCCTGACAGCTGTTTGTCCAGCCTGTTCTGAAAAGCTCCAATGACGGGGATTCCACAACCCCCCTTGGGAGTTTTTCCAGAGCTGAACTGCCCTTAGAGTTAGAAAGTTTTCCCTAATATGGAATCTAAATCTCCCTTGCTGGAGATTAAAGCCCATCACTTCTCGTCCTATCTTCAGAGCACAGCCTGTAACAGCCTGTAAGTAAAAGCACCAGGTGGGCACTGCACCTGAAGGTCTCTGGGTGACTTTCTCAGCCCAGCGGGGGCAGGTGCCAGGAGGGCCCTGCAGTGACGCTGTGACACGAACCTTAAAGGCATAGAGGAGAAGCTTGTGTCTAACGCTGTAGAGGAGCGGGAGCCAGTGGGAGAGGCCAGAGAGGCGTCTAGGTTGGCAGGGTAACAAACTCTAAGGGTAACCGTCACTGGAGGTTTTTAGGAGCAGGTTAGACAGACGCCTGTCAGGGCTGGTCTAGGTTTACTTGGTCCTGCCACAGCGCAAGGGGCTGGACTTGATGAGCTCTCGAGGGCCTGTCCAGCCCAACATTGCTGGGACTCTGTGTTCTCAGCAGCCACGTTGTGAATGATGTGGAGAAGGGGAGAGCTCTGTTCTCTGTGTGTGTGTGTCTGTGTGTGAGAGCGGGGGGATGGAGGGAGTGAGGCAGGGGGGAGACAATGGGGGAGCGAGTGTAAAGAATATTGACATCAATATGAAAGACACTTTATGCTGCCAGAGTAAACATTTATATTTAGTACCCAGACCAGTGTGTGCACTAAAAACAAAACCCCCATCAAAGAAAACGCTCCCCAGCACGCCCTGTTCTGTTCTCCTCTGGGGACGGGATGAGAGAGGGAACGAATCCCATGTCACCGACAGCTGCTCATGTCGTGCACCAATGAGGAGAGGAGAAGAATAGAATTTATATGGCAATGTCTGGAGATTTGTTGGGATCAGAGCCCCTTTGCCCTGGCAGTTTTACAGACAGAGCTTGCAGCCTGAATAGACACGAAACAGACCAGGAACTGGTGCCGTGGCTAGAACATGCAAGTGAAAATAGTGAAGAATGGAATAGCTTTTTAGTGATGTGGTTGGTTGTGATTGGCTGCAGTCTCATATGTGTCTGTTACTTACCTAGTTAACAGAGAGTCCTGTGGCACCTTTAAGACTTAACAGATGTATTGGAGCATAAGCTTTCGTGGGTGAATGCCCACTTCATCAGACTCACTCAATTTGTGATCCATTCGCACCCCCAGCTCCGTTTCACAGTACAACCCCCGAGCCAGGTAGTCCCCAGGTTGTAGTTGTGCATCTGATTTTTCCTTCCCGTGTGCAGTATTTTGTGCTTGTCTTTACTGAATTTCATCTTGTTGAATTCAGACCATTTCTCCGATTTGTGAAGGTCATTTTGAATTCTCATTCAGCCCTCCAAAGTGCTTGTGATCCTCCCAGCGTGGTGTCAGCTGCAAATTTTACGAGCACGCTCTCCACTCCGTCATCCAAGTCATTCATGGAAATAATGAATTGTACCTGAGACAGGACCCTGCTGGACCCCACTAGATCAATGTAGACATTCCTGCGCTGAAGCTCGGTGAGGAGGGTGGATCTCGGAGCCCAGGCGACAACGTCTACATGGCAATTTTTAGCACCATAGCACAAGTCCGAGGCTCTAGTCCCGGGCTCTGAGACTCGCTGCCGTGGGTGTTTTGCAGTGTAGACGTACCCTGGGTCATTACTGAGCGCCTGGAACCTGCCCACTGTGCAGTGACGACACAGGCGAAATCATCTCGGAACTGTTAGCGATTATCTTCAAGAACTCCTGGAAGGTGGGTGAGGTCCTATAGGAATGGAGCAGGGCAAACATAGGACCTACCTTTAAAAAGGGGAAGAAAGAGGAACCAGGGAATTATAGACCAGTCAGTCTAACTGATTTCCATTATAGCCCTGCCTAGAGGCCTCATTGTGTTGGTGCCTGCACAGATGTTACTAGACCATTCTGTCCCGCAGGAGTCCATGGGTGCTGAAGGAGATAGAAACAGGAAGGGGGTATCCTGTCTGCACCAGCCCTTCAGAGTGCCTGTGGTCCTCCCAGCTTGGTGTCAGGTGCAAATTTTACAAGCGTGCTCTCCACTCCATTATCCAAGTCATTCATGGATATAATGAATTGCTCCTGAGGCAGGACCTGCTGGACCCCACTAGACCCCTCCTCCCAGTCTGGCAGCAAACCAGTGAAAACCACTCTGTGCATACGGTCTGTCACCCAGTTGGGCACCAACCTCATAGCAATCTCATTTAGACCACGCTTCCCTAGCTTGCTTATGACTGTCATGTGGGACCATGTCAGAAGCCTTACTAACGTGCTCCCATGACTGGAAGTGGAAATTAGTCAAATTCAGGCTGGAAATAAGACATATATTTTGAACAGGGAAGGGAATTAACCACTGGAACAGCTTACACAGAGTCACAGTGGAATTATTTTTGGGACATGTCTCTGGCTTGGAGAGAAGAGCCTCCAGTCTGTCTCCATCCTGCGTTTGTATCAGTTTATATTTTGGAGGGGGAAGGGGGCGAGTTGCTAATTAAAGCCCAGTTCTGCAAATAGACGCCTCCACTGAAGCAGCAGGCTCTCAACTGGCATTTCCATTGTTTGCAATATAGCCCTGCCTACGGCCCCATTGTGTGGGTGCCTGCACAGATGGTACCTGCCCCACCCGACCCACAGACTCAAATCGTAGCAACAGTCGAGAGGCAGGCAAACAAGTCCTGACAACAATGTAGCAACTGGTGACTGAAACAGATGGCGTGAGTGCAATGAGCACGATTTAGGTAGCCGGTGATCGTCACAGCTTGTCCCTGGCCTAGCAACAGTGCCGCAGCTCTGCAATATCTCTTGAGGGGACAGAGCTGGGGGCGCAGAGAACCCCTGCCAGGGGGTTAGTGATGGTAATCTAGTAGTTACCCCTGTTTATTAGCCTGAGGTAGAATTTGGGGTTCGTTTGCCTGTTTGACTTTTGATATTCTTACGTCCTCACTAACACGGGTGAACAAAGACTCTGTGTGTTGCATCTGCCTGCGGCCAGGTGGGGTTTATAGCACACGATGAGACAAGAGAAGGAAGAGAGTGAAACTCTCGCTGGGGATGGTGGGAGTTTGACGTACGAGCGGACACCTGCTCGACTCCTCTCCCAAGCCAAGGTCAAGTAACCAGTCGGGAGTGGAGGGAGGGGTATGTGGGTGGGTGGGGGGGGGCATAAGAAAGGCTAAAAGCCAAAGAAACGGTGACCCTGCCTGGCCGAAACACACCCTCACTCCTTACCCTGGAAGGTGGGTGAGGTCCCATAGGAATGGAGAAGGGCCAACATAGGACCTACCTTTAAAAAGGGAAAGAAAGTGGACCCAGGGAATTATAGACCAGTCAGTCTAACTTCGATCCCTGGAAAGGGACTAGAACAAATGATTAAACAATCAATGTGTAAGCCCCTAGACTAGAGGATAACAGGGTAATAAGTAATAGTCAACATGGATTTGTCAAAAAAAAAAAAACCATACTAAACCAACCTAATTTCCTTCTTTTAACAGGGTCACTGACCTAGTGGAGAAGCAGGAGACGTGATATATCTTGATTTTAGTACGGCCTTTGACATAGTCCCACGTGACATTCTCACAAGCAAACTGCAGAATGTGGTCTAGATGAACTTACTATAAGGTGGGTGAACAACTGGTTGAAAGACTGAACTCAGAGTAGTTATCAGTGGTTTGCTGTCCAGCTGAGAGGACTTTAGAGGAGAGCAACAAAAGTGATAAAAGGTTTAGAAAACCTGACTTAGCCAGGATGGGTAAGGAATGGTGTCCCTAGCCTCTGTCTGTCAGAGGGTGGATGGAGATGGATGGCAGGAGAGAGATCACTTGATCATACCTGTTAGGTTCACTCCCTCTGGGGCACCTGGCATTGTCCGCTGTCGGTAGACAGGATATTGGGCTGGATGGACCTTTGGCATGACCCAGTATGGCCGTTCTTATGTTCCTATGACTTATGGCAGTGGTCCCCAACCTTTCCGTGGGGCAGGCGCCAGACGACTAGACGCTGAGGAGCATGGTCGCCAGACAAGCAGCTGCCGAAATGCCGCCGAGAAGCGGCAATGCCAAGAAGTGTCGCCGCCAAAATGCCACCAACAAGCAGCGTCATCAAGAGGTGTTGCTGCCGAAATGCAGCCGAAAATCGGCGATATTTCGGCGGCGACGCCTCTTGACTTTGCTGCTTCTCGGCGGCATTTTGGCGACAGCTTGTCCGGCACCACACTGGGAACCCCTGACTTATGGGGAAAGGATGCAAGAATTGGACGTGTTTAGTCGTGAGAAGAGAAGGCTGAGGGGGGACCTTCATAACAGCTTTCAAATACGTTAAGGGCTGTTATAAAGAGGACTGTGATCAATTGTTCTTCATGGCCACTGATGGCAGGACGAGAAGTAATGGGCTGAATCTGCAGCAAGGGAGATTCAGGTGAGATATTAGGAAAAAATAGAACTCTCAGGGGAGTGAAGCTCTGGAACAGGCTTCCAGGGGAGGTTGTGGAACCCCCGTCACTGGAGGTGTTTAAGACCAGGTGTCTAACACCTGTCAGGGACGGTCTAGGTTTACTTGGTCGTGCTCAGCGCAGGGGGCTGGACTTGATGACCTGTGAGGTCCCTTCCCGCCCGACATTTTTCGGATCCTATGTTTGATGAACTGGTTCTTTGAGGAGCTCAGGGGCAATTTGCCTCCTTGGATTTTTGCTTTTAAGCATTGTCAATCCGAAATATTTGTTGATTGAAAATGGGGTCAGCACCGGCTCTGGCTACCGTTCCACCCTGGCTCAGTAAATGCAAAGCACGTAACAATGGCTCCAAAGCTAAGAGCCTCCAAGGCCCATCGACGTTAAAGACTCAAGTTCAATTAAAGGTCTCACTTCGCCAATCCCACCTGAAAACGTCTGGGCGAAAGGAAACTAGGTCCATGAAGTGAGAGTGAGGTGAAAGTTCTAGCGTTTAGGAACTGTGATTGTAACAAAGGTCAAGTCAGCCACACCTTCCTCATTAAACCCGCACCAGACTTTCATCTGAAGTGCCTCAGCTGAGCTCCGTTATGTGTCATCTGCTACCTCTCATGCACAGCTGTTGTTACTTTACCGGATGTATTATTACTGTGGGGTCTAGAGGCCCTAACTGAGACCAGGACCCCACTGTGCTGGGCACAGAATAGCCACACACACTCAGAGGCAGGGAGCTTGCAAGTGAAATGCACCAGAAAGAAAGGGGCAGGCGAGGAAACTGAGTCACAGAGCAGGGACTTGCCCAAGGTCACCTAGGAAAGCAGTGGCAGAGCTGCAAACAGATTTGAGCTCTCCTGAGTCCCAGCATGGTACCCTCGCTACTTAGGGTGACCAGATGTCCTGATTTTATAGGGATAGTCCCGATATTTGGGGCTTTTTCTTATATAGGTTCCTATTATCTCTCACCCTCTGTCATGATTTTTCACACTTGCTGTCTGGTCACCCTATCGCTACTTAAACCATCCTGTCCCGCAGGAGTCCATGGGTGCTGAAGTAGATAGAAACAGGAAGGGGGCATCCTCTCTGCACCAGCCAGAAAGGAGGGGGAGCTGCGAAGGAGGCTGCTCAACCCAAGCCAGGGAGAGGAGGATGGATCTTGCCTCTGCTTTTAGCTCCCCTCTCCTTTAACCCCTGGAGTTCTAACAAGTAGAAGGGACAAGGGGAGATGTGGGAGGTGTCAGCACAGGGATCAGAGCCCAGGCAGTGGGGCTGCAAGGCCTAAAGCCACCGGTGGATCTCCTTTATTCTTCGCTGCTCCAGGGATGTTAGTGCAAGTTAGAGCAGCCCCAGGGCTACTCTAATTTGCAGCAGCCTTGCAGAGTCATGCTCACTCCTAGTCCTAGCTGCATCCCCAGCAGGCCTCTATGCTAGGGGCTGTGTAGGAGGGGGGCACCGGGCTTCTGAGCAAGTCCAGCGGCATAAGGGGCTCGAGGGGGGTGGGGAGAGCATCCACCGCACTGTTATGGCTCCTCGTCCTTCTGGAGGGGTGGTTTAGCCTTCCCCAAACTCGTGTCTGACTCTCACAATCAAACACCTTCCGCAGGGCTTGTCTACACGGGGAAATGGACTGGGATAGCTCCCGTGGGCTGAGCTGTTCCGGAATAGCTCCCCTTGTTCCAGAAGTGGATGAAGCTGAACCAGAACGAGGTGATCTTATTTCAGAATGAGAGCGCCCGCCCTGGGAGTTATTCCAGAATAGCTCTGGCCCTTTAACGTCTCTCCCTGTCTTACTCCGGAATCACTTCTTTGGGTAGCCCAGGCCTCAGATGGGAGCCCAGCAACCGCTGTCACCTCGGTAACACTGCTCTGGGGATCAGAGGCCTTTTCCTGTTTGCTGCCTGCAGAGAAAGCCGGGCTAAATAACACTGCTGCTGGAAAGGCCATGCTGGGCAGCCTCAGGGAAGTCCCTGGCATGGAGCAGACAAAAGCAGAACCAACAGAAGGAAGCTGAGGCTGGGGACAGTCGGGTTGCAGAAACAGTACCTGTTTTCACAGGTTAATCAATCATTGGAACAGCTCTCCAAGGCCGAGGTGGTTCCCACGGCAGGCAAAACCAGTAAACCGAGATTAGCTATCTTCCTGAAACACACGCTCTGTTTAACACGCAACCGTTCTGGATGCCAGACGCGCTGCGGGGGAGGGTCTCTGGCCTGTGGTATCCGAGATGATTTTAACAGGCCCTGCTGGCCTTTGACCTGGGGAAAGAAGCCTAATTTTCAGCGTCCCTGATACTCGGCTGTTTCTGCGAATTTAGCCCTTTTCAATGACTGACTGTCGTCCGCGCTGTGGGGCGCGGCTGATGCTGCAGCGTTGTTCCCGCTCACAGCGCAGCGTGTTCGTTCAGTGTGTTATTCATAAGGCCCTGGGCTCGGTTCAGCGGTGAAGGCGCTTGGCCAAACCACGATGCTAGGGTCCCGTAGGAGCCACAAGGACACTAACACATGTATACCCGGGACAATGGTACCTGCTCAGTCAGCGCACCAGGATCCTGTCCCTAGATCAGCAAAAAGTCACCCCTCCTCTGGAGTCTCCTCTTTAGGCATCAATACAGACGTTGTTAGTTACACCCTTGTCCTTGTACCTTCTAGTTCTGCCAAAACATCCTTATCTGTTATTCTATCATCCCCTCCTTGTCATACGAGGGGTCAGTGTGTTCCTGCACCATCTCTCGGGAACGTGCTGACGTGCTCTCTTGAGAGAGCTGCGTGTTTTTGTACCATCCTCTCCGCTCAGGATATGCTCACTTGGTGTGAGCTAAAACGTATTTTGCCAAGGTCAGGCCTACTTTGGTTCACACTGTTACTATGCCAAGGGCTCCAGCCAGGCCCATGCTAATCAGAACAAATACCACGGCCATGCTCTGGTCTAGTGCCTGGAGCACCAGAGTGGGTGACAGAAGACCTGGGTTCTAATCCTGGTTCTGCCACTAAACTGTGGTGTGACTTTGAGCAAGTCCCCTTTCTGCACTGTTTCCCCTCCCGCCATCTGTCTGGTTAGATTGTGAGCTCTTTGGCTCAGAGACTGTCTGCACAACGGGGCCCTGATCTCGCTAGGGTAGTGACTGTCACTGTATGTCTGTGCAGCACCCGGCACAACGGGGCCCTGATCTCAGCTGGGGCAGGGACTTTCTCTTGCTGTTTGTCTGGGCAGCGCTCAGCACAATGGAGCTCCAGTCTTGGTTGGTGCCCTGTGCCACTTCTGCAAGAGAAGTAGCTAATAATATTAACCATAGGTGCGTTGGCACCAAGTACATGGGAGATTCTCAGAAGCTACGGTGATGAGATAGAACTGGCAGCACTAAGGGCTGGAATGGTGGAGACAGACAAGAGCCATCTGCATTCCCAAGTGTCTTTGCAAAGTCTCGCTCGCCCTGCCCAGCAGCTCGCACCACTGAAGCCGAGGTGGAAAGGAAATGCGGGGTGTCCCCTGAGTTAAAGGCCTGGTGCCAGAGGAGGTCACATTCTTTAATGCCTTAAAAGTAGCCGTGTGGATGGTGTAAGTGAAGGTTGGGAATTTGGTGGCCCAGAGACCAGTGGCTGGAGGAGGAGAATGTGCAGTTCTGGGGATGGGGACTGAAAACTCAGCAGCGCTGGCCCATTGCTCTGACTTACTAAACCCTTGTGTGGGGAACCCTGTGCCACCCCATTACATTTAGGGCCCCTTTATCAGCCATTATCTCTGATCAGTGGCATGTGTCCTGAACCCCAATAAACTGTTAACATAAGACTTTCCTCGTCTATGAGCTGGATTTGAAGTGGGGACAGTTAGCACCGCAACATAGAACTTCAGGTGGCAGCAGTAGTAGGTTGTTATCCATTGTGCGAATGGACCAATAGAGGGGTACAAGAGTCTCCCTTTGCAATGCATGACACTGAATGTATTGAAAAGGCAGGTTATTATCTCAGCCTGGAGGAGCAGGGGTGATAATGAACAAGCAACTCAACATCAGCTCCCAGTGCGATGCCGTGGCAAAAATCGCAAACGCGATCCGTGAATGTGTAAACGGGAGCTGTGAGCAGGGGAAGGCGGGTGATTTAACCTCTGTGTATGGCACTGGTGAGGCTGATACTGGACTAGTGATTCTACTTCTTGTGTCCATGTTTTAAAAAGGATGTTGAAAAATCAGAGAGGGGAAGAGAAGAGCCACAAAAATGATTGGCGGCTGGACAAAAAGCTTCACGGTGAGAGATTTAACGAGCTCTGTCTGTTTAGTTTCTTAAACGGAAGATTGAGAGGTGACTTGGACTTGCCTGGGAGGAAATACCAGGTGCTAAATGCCTCTTTAGGCTAACGGAGAAAGGCAGGGCAAGGACCAATGGCTGCAAGCTGAAGCCAGACAAATTCAAATGAGAAATAACGCACAGGTTTTCTAACAGTGAGAGTGATTAACCCTGGGACCAAATTCCCTCGGGAAGTGCTGGATTCTCCACTACTTAATGTCTTTGGGCTATTGCTGTCAAGCGATTAAAAAAATTAATCGCAATTAATCATGCTGTTAAACAATAATAGAATACGATTTATTTAAATATTTTTGAATGTTTTCTACATTTTCAAATATATTGATTTCAATTGCAACACAGAATACAAAGTGTACAGTGCTCACTTTATATTTATTTTTGAATAAAATATTTGCACTGTAAAAAACTAAAGAAATTGTATTTTTCAATTCACCTAATACAAGTACTGTAGTGCAATCTATCATGAAAGTTGAACTTACAAATGTAGAAGTATGTAGAAAAACTAAATGCATTGAAATATAAAACAGTGTAAAACGTTAGAGCCTACGAGTCCACTCAGTCCTACTTCTTGTTCAGCCAATCGCTCAGACAAACAAGTTTGATTGCAATTTGCAGGAGATAATCATAGAACTGGAAGAGACCATGAGAGGTCATCTAGTCCAGTCCCCTGCACTCATGGCAGGACTAAGTATTATCTAGATCATCCCCAACAGGTGTTTGTCCAACCTGCTCTTAAAAATCTCCAATAATTGAGATTCCACAATCTCCCTAGGCAATTTATTCCAGTGCTTAACCACCCTGACAGTTAGGAAGTTTTTCTTAATGTTCAACCTAAAAGGCCCTTGCTGCAATTTAAGGCCTTTGCTTCTTGTCCTATCCTTAGAGGTTAAGAAAAAACATTTTTCTCCCTCCTCCTTGTAACAACCTTTTATGTACTTGAAAACTGTTCTCATGTACCCCCTCACTCTTCTCTTCTCCAGACTAAACAAGCCCAATTTTTTCAATCTTCCCTCTTAGATCATGTTTTCTAGACCTTTAATCATTTTTGTTGCTCTTCTGTGGACTTTCTTCAATTTGTCCACATCTTTCCTGAAACGTGGCACCCAGAACTGGACACAATACTTCAGGGGAGGCCTAATCACCGCGGAGTAGAGCAGAAGCATTACTTCTCATGTCTTGCTTACAATACTCCTGCTAATACATCCCAGAATGATGTTTGCTTTTTTTGCAACAGTGTTACACTGTTGACTCATATTTAGCTTGTGGTCCACTGTGACCCTAGATCCCTTTCCGCAGTACTCCTTCCTAGGCAGTCTCTTCCCATTTTGTATGTGTGCAACTGATTGTTCCTTCCTAAGTGGAGTACTTTGCATTTGTCCTTATTGAATTTCATCCTATTTACCTCAGACCATTTCTCCAGTTTGTCCAGATCATTTTGAATTTTCATCCTATCCTCCAAAGCACTTGAAACCCCTCCCAGCTTGGTATCATTCACAAACTTGATAAGTGTACTCTCTATGCTATTATCTAAATCATCGATGAAGATATTGATCAGAACTGGACCCAGAACAGATCCCTATGGGACCCCACTTGTTATGCCCTTCCAGCATGACTGTGAACCACTGATAACTCCTCTCTGGGAATGATTTTCCAATCAGTTATGAACCCACCTTATAGTAGCTCCATCTAGGTTGTATTTCCCTAGTTTGTTTATGAGAAGGACATGCAAGACCATATCAAGAGCCTTACTAAAGTCTAGATATACTACATCTACCACTTCCCCCCTATCCACAAGGCTTGTTACCCTGTCAAAGAAAGCTATCAGGTTGATCTGACATGATTTGTTCTTGACAAATCCATGCTGACTGTTATTTATCACCTTATTATCTTCTAGGTGTTTGCAAATTGATTGCTTAATTATTTGCTCCATTATCTTTCCGGGTACAGAAGTGAAGCTGACTGGTCTGTAATTCCTCAGGTTGTACTTATTTCCCTTTTTTATAGATGGGCACTATATTTGCCCTTTTCCAGTCTTCTGGAATGTCTCCCGTCTTCCATGACTCTTCAAAGATAATTGCTAATGGCTCAGATATCTTCTCAGTCAGCTCCTGGAGTATTCTAGGATGCATTTCATCTGGCCCTGGTGATTTGAAGACATGCTGCCCGCTTCTTGTTTACGTCACTTGAAAATGAGAACAGGTCATATGTCCTTTCATGCTTCAACCACCCTGAAGATGGATTCTGCTCGATAATGATCCAAAGCAGAGCAGAGTGACGCATGTTCATTTTCATCATCTGAGTCAGATGCCACCCACAGAAGGTTGATTTTCTTTTTTGATAGTTCGGGTTCTGTAGTTTCCGCATCTGAGTGTTGCTCTTTTAAGACTTCTGAAAGCATGCTCCACACCTCATCCCTCTCAGATTTTGGACTGCACCTCAGATTCTTAAACCTTGGGTCGAGTGCTGTAGCTGTCTTTAGAAATCTCACATTGGTATGTCTTTTGCATTTTTGTCAAATCTGCTGTGAAAGTGTTCTTAAAACGAACAGTGCTGGGTCGTCATCCGAGACTGCTATAGCATGAAATATATGGCAGAATGCAGGTAAAACAGAACAGGAGACATGCAATTCTCCCCCAAGGAGTTGAGTCACAAATTTAGTTAATGCATTATTTTTTTAACGAGCATCATCAGCATGGAAGCATGTCCTCTGGAATGGCAGCCGAAGCATGAAGGGGCATACGAATGTTTAGCATATCTGGCACATAAACACCTTGCAAGGCCGGCTACAAAAGTGCCATGCAGATGCCTGTTCTCACTTTCAGGTGACATTGTAAATAAGAAGCAGGCAGCAGAAAAGGACCTGGGGATTGATGAGACTCTGGATATGAGTCAGCAGTGTGCCCTTATTACCAAGAAAGCTAACGGCATATTGGGCTGCATTAGTAGGAGCACTGCCAGCAGATCGAGGGAAGTGATTATTCCCCTCTATTCGGCACTGGTGAGGCCACATCTGGAGTATTGTGTCCAGTTTTGGGCCTGTCAGGGTTCCTTCCCCACTCTGAACTTTGGGGTACAGATGTGGGGACCCGAATGAAAGACCCCCTAAGCTTATTTTTACCAGCTTAGGTTAAAAACTTTCCCAAGGCACAAATTCCACCTTGTCCTTGAACAGTATGCTGCCACCACCAAGTGATTTAGACAAAGAATCAGGGAAAGGACCACTTGGAGTCCTATTCCCCCAAACCCTACACCCCCTTTCCTGGGGAAGGCTTTAGAATAATATCCTCACCAATTGGTACAGGTGAACACAGACCCAAACCCTTGGATCTTAAGAACAATGAAAAATCAATCAGGTTCTTAGAAGAAGAATTTTAATTAAAGAGAAGGTAAAAGAATCACGTCTGTAAAATCAGGATGGTAAATACTTTACAGAATAGCAAAAGATTAAAAAAACACAGAGGATTTCCCCTCTGGGCAAAACTTTAAAGTTACAAAAAACAGGGATAAACCTCCCTCTCAGCACAGGGAAAATTCACAAGCTACAACAAAAGATAATCTAATGCATTTCCTTGCTATTACTTACTATTTCTGCAATATTAGATGCTTAGTTCAGATATGGCTTTGGGAGATGTATTTTCCCTGCCCTGGTTCCTTGCTGACTCTGAGAGAACAACAGAACACACAAACAAAAACCTTCCCCCACAGATTTGAAAGTATCTTCTCCCCTTCTTGGTCCTTTTGGTCAGGTGCCAATCAGGTTATGTAAGCTTCTTAACCCTTTACAGGTAAGAAGGGATTTTATGCTACCCTTAGCTGTATGTTTATGACAGGGCCCAACACTACAGAAAGGATGTGGACAAGTTGGAGAGATTCCGGCAGATGGCAACGAGAATGATCAGGGGGCTGGGGCACATGATTTACGAGGAGAGGCTGAGGGAACTTGGCTTGTTTAATCTGCAGAAGAGAAGAGTGAGGGGTGGATTTGATAGCAGCCTTCAACTACCTGAAGGGGGGTTCCAAAGAGGATGGAGCTCGGCTGTTCTCAGTGGTGGCAGATGACAGAACAAGGAGCAATGGTCTCAAGTTGCAGTGGGGGAGGTCTAGGTTGGATATTAGGAAACACTATTTCACTAGGAGGGTGGTGAAGCACTGGAATGGGTTACCTAGGGAGGTGGTGGAATCTCCATCAGAAGAGGTTTTTAAGGCCTGGCTTGACAAAGCCCTGTCTGGGATGATTTAGTTGGTGTTGGTCCTGCTTTGAGCAGGGGATTAAACTAGATGACCTCCTGATGTCTCTTCCAACCCTAATCTTCTATGATTCTATGATTATCTCCCGTTAATGTAAACAGACTTGTTTGTCTTAGTGATTGGCTGAACAAAAAGTAGGACTGAGTGGACTTGTAAGCTCTAAAGTTTTACATTGTTTTATTTTTGAGTTCAGTTATGTAACAAAAAAAATCTACGTTGGTAAATTACACTTTCATGATAAAGAGATTGCATTACAGTACTTGCATGAGGTGAATTGAAAAATACCATTTCTTTTGTTTATCATTTTTACAGTGCAATTATTTGTAATAAAAAATAATAATATAAAGTGAGCACTGTATACTTTGTATTCTGCGTTGTAATAGAAATCAATATATTTGCAAATGTAGAAAAACATCCAAAATATGTAATAAATTTCAATTGGTATTCTATTGTTTAATAGTGTAATTAATCATGATTAAATTTTTTAATGGTGATTAATTTTTTTGAGTTAATCGTGTGAGTTAACTGCAAATAATCGACAGCCCTTTTTCAGGCCTTAAAATCTACAAATCTGTGAAGGAGGGGTGGGGACTGTTGGGTATCTGAGGATATTAAGGCCAGGGGAAGCCATGACAGTGGGTCTCACATGGTGACCGATGCACTGAAAACACCTAGATGGACACAGTGAGAGGTTGGACCGGGCATTGTCTGTGGCATTTGGCCCATGGTACGTTCTGATGGTTTTAAAGGAGAAGTGCATAATTAAAATAACCCACCCTGAGTGACCGTCTCTGTTCCTTCCTGGTAGGTGGCGACACAGCAGTCTCGGTGCTGATTATCCCGAAAATGGCAGAAGAGAGCGCCGAAGCGACAAGCGATACCAGTAAATACTAAATACTTTGATCTTAATTAAAAGGGAGCCTGTGGTGTGATTGACAGAGGGACAAAGATACGGTGGGTGGGTTGCCCCCTCTTTTTTATGAGGGATAAAGATAGGATAAAAGGAGTTTTTGTTGCTCTTTGGTTCATGCTTGTTTTTAATGTTAGCAATTTGGGTCTTTTCCACCCTGAAGAACTCTGGCCAACAGGAGAACTGGTGGAGTGAAAGGCTGAAAATCTGGAATACTGTGTGTGCCCCATCTCGGAAAGGAAATTGTAGAAGTAGAGGGGTTCCGAGAGAGGTGACGAGAAGGATCAAGGGCCTGGGAAAACTCTCCTGTAAAGAGAGCTTGAAAAGACGGAGATTGTTACCTTGGAGAGGAGACGGGTACAAGGGACAGGATAATGGATGGGATAGAGAAGGTAGATCTGTGTCTAGCACAAGCACAAAAGGGACAGTCAATGGAATGGAAAGGTGGGAACTTCAAAACTGATCAGAGGAAACAATTTTTCACACACTGGGTAATTAGAAGGTGGAACTCACTGCTAGGTGACATCAACCAATGATGTTAAGGCCAAGAGCTTAGCAAAATTCCAAGAGGGATTGGACATTTCTATGGAGAACAGGAAGAGCCAGAGTTCTTATAATGCTAACAAAAATGTTGGCAGAGATTATCCTCTTACCAGCCACTAGAGGGGGACATGGCACACAATTTGTCAAATGCATTACCATGCTCTCTAATCCGTTTGGAGCCCCTCAGCCAGGCCAAGGGAGGGCTGTGTGGGGTGGGGATAGCAAGATTTGGGGACTGCCAGTCACTTTGGGATGCTCGGGGGGAGGGGAAACAGTGATGGATGCATTCAAAAGGCCTGGGCTTCGTACACAGCACTGGGCCCTGCGTGGAGGGGACTGTATGATCTAACCTTAAATGACAGTTTCTTTTGCTTTCTGGTAGGTAGAGGGGTGAATGACTCAATGCTGCCGGGTCACGGACAAGTGGAAGAAAGGAGAAGAGATGCGGGTAAATTATTATATTATTTATTAGGTACAATATGGTAACATCTAGAGACAGCAGCTGAGCCCCATTGCATGCTGCACAGACCCACAGTGTCAGTCCCTGCCCCAGCTGAGATCCGGGCCCCATTGTGCCGGGCGCTGCACAGACAAACAGTGAGAGACAGTCCCTGCCCCAGCTGAGATCAGGGCCCCGTTTTGCCGGGCGCTGCACAGACACACAGTGAGAGACAATCCCTTAAGGTGCTGTTCCTTTAGCTCAAGTGGTAATGGCTTGTGCCTTTAAATCCAGAAATCAGGCGTTCAATTTCTACTGCTGATGAGTAGCCTCCAAATTAGCCCCAGTAACTCTGGGCAACCATGAAATTGTCTCTCCCAATCAACCAGCTCATAGCGGCATGGTTCCTGATCTTGCAATCTGGGAAGTAAGAAGGTCCTTCAAAGCCGGTGACCAGCGCTCAGGGACATTTTTGAACCTGTTTGTTCTTTTAATTGAAAAAAATATTTTTTTTCACCCAGAATTGTCAGAGTTGTTTGACTTTTTCATTTTTGGTGGGGAAAAAAGGTGTTTCTTGCTTTTTCTTTTTTCATAGATCTTTTGGTGAAATTTTTATTGAAAATATATTATTAAGTTGTTTGGGAAAGTTGTAAACATAAGAGCTGCCACACTGAGTCAGAGCACGGTCAGTCTAGCCCAATCTCCCGTCTGCTACAGTGGCCACTATCAGAGCTTCGGGGGAGGGGACAGGACAGGGGAATTACTGAGCGATCCACCCCTGCCTTGGCTCCTGGCTTCTGGCAGTCAGAGGAGCATGGGGTTGCGTCCCTCACCATCTTGGCTAATAGCCATTGATGGATCCGTCCTCCAGGAACTTAGCTCATTCTATTTTGGAACCTAGTTATTTTTGGCCATCACCACATCCAATGGCAGGTGGACTATGCGCTGTATGAAAAAGTATCTTCTCTTGTTTGTATTAAACCTGCTTCCTGTTAATTTCATCAGGTGACCCCTGGTATTTGTGTTGTGGGAAGGGTAAATAACACTTCTCTATACACTTGTTCCACACCGTTCATGGTTTTATAGACCTCTAGCCTATCCCCCCTTAGTCGTCTCTTTTCTAAGCAGAATGGCACTAATCTTTGTAGTCTCTCCTCGTATGGAAGCTGTTTCATGCTCTTGATCATCATCAACTAGATTTATCCACTCATGTAAGCACCTAGCGAAACACGACCATTTTCACGCACCGGCAGCATTTGCTATTGAAACGCCTTTGTCTCCTTTCATCTATTTTTTTTATTTTGCAGATTTCAGCCTAAAATGCATTAAAGATAAACGGATCCCAATTACCGTTACTGTCGTCATCACAGCGTTGATCATCACCATAATTGCACTGGCAGGTGAGTGAAGGGTCATTACTAACCCAGCTGATTCTCATTCCCTTGTCACTGATTCTTCATTGCCTGCTTATCCTAGCCCCAAGATCATGGTGCCCACTTGCGTTCCCACGGCCTCTTCTCACCCCGTCTTTGCCCTGGTCTGACTCCTCCGTTGAAGCACATTCCCCTTTTCAGAGGGGAAATCTCTCTCCAGACCCTTTCCCCCAAAGAGGAAGGGCCTAACCCCGTTCCCTGCCCCCTGGGAAGCAGCCCCACTAGATCCCAGGCCTGGGTAGCGGTCTAGGGATGCAGTGGGTGGGTCTCCCTGCCCCCCCCCCCCCCCCCGTCATCCAACGCCCAGTCTCACCTTAAATTGTCGTAGGTTTGGGTGCCACCGTGTGGCCATGGCTCACAGCGCATCTCGAAAATTGTTTCCAATCCATTTATCATTGTTCCTCCTCCCTCATCCGCCGTACTGTGTGTAAATGCAACTGGGAGTCTCAGGCAGAGGATTCCGTTCCCTGATCCGGGCCAGTCGCTTGTGGCTTTGGGAGCATTTCTGAATTTCTTTTCGGTGCCAAAGCTCCTCCGTAAAACTCACGTGACACAGAGAATCTGTCGCGCTGTACGGATTCTTCCCATTCCTGGCTGGGTGTCGCTGGCACAGCGGAAAGGGTGTGTTGGAGTGTGTGCGCTCTGCCCCCAGGAACCGAAGAGTTCCTGGGATTCCTTAGAGAAGACACATGTTGTAGGGAGTGTGCGGTGACAGCTGTCCATGCTGGAGCGAGGGGCTGGCTGCTTGGCCTCACTGGGCAAACAGACCTTCACAAGGAAATGGCTACGGGGAGCAACGCGCTGTAGGGGTCAGGTTGGACTGCGTGGAGAGTGGGAGACCCTGGGCTGGATCCTTAGACCACTTTACACCACTCTGGGGACTCAAGGTGGATGCAAAGAGCCCTCTGAGAATCCCCCCAATTCAGGGGCCTCCCCAGCTGGTGTATGGGCTCTGCACCCAGAGTGTAGGGAATGGGTTGTGGTTGTGGCCAGAGCACGCTGCATTACAGCTGTTCTGTGCTTCCCAGGTGGCCTGAGAAGCAGAGGGTAAGTTAGAGCAACCCTGAGGCTGCTCTAAGTCGCACCAGGGGAAGGTCAAGGCCCTAAATGGCCCCGGAATACAGGAAGCACAAAGCCAGCATCTCTTCAACATGTGCCAGACATCCACACGTGCTGTTTTGCTACAGAGCACATTCCAGCATTTCTGCCCATAGTTAATGTGTCTGTGCGTTGGGAAATCACATGGCAGGTAAAAGTTTCCATTGACCCAAACTGAAATTGTTTCTGGTTTTTCAGTTAATGAAAACGTTTGACTTTTCTCCCCGACTCAGGAAGGGAAAATTCTGTGAAACCTCGAACGTTTTTGCAGGATCTTGGGAAAACCGTTTCCCCCATCCCTCTTGTTAGGCTCCTTTGCCCTCAGTTTTAGTGGCTGCTTTAGTGGCCTGTTTTAGTGGCCTGAGTGGAACGCCTTGGCGAGTGTGGCCTTTGGGCCCAGCCACAGAGAACATAAGTTGTTCTAGCCCCACCTAGGGGCTTTCGGCTATGATATTACGGGTCTCGCTCTTCGCTCTGGAGGGCCCCAGTTCTAGCCCTGGTGTGGCAACCGTCACATGTGTGTACTGAGGATGGTACGTCAAGGGGGAATCCATGAAATGCGCCCACCCCTCCCATTTTTCACCCCTTGCCCCAAGGAGGCGCATTTGAATGGGCTGCCCGTCCCTGGCAGAATGGGCCACCACATACGACGGTGCCGGAAGTTAAGATGGCGGACGGGCCCATTTGGATGCACGGGTACAGTGGGTCATGATGCCATCTTAGCTCCACCCTGTGCTCCCCAGCCACCCCATGCAAATGGCGGCCGTACAACCAGGAGGGGGGCTCTGTCAGAGTCCCTGCTCCCCGGACAAAGGTTTGGGGGTCATGGGGGTGGACACGATGAACACTAGCTCCCAGTGGGACGCTGTGGCCAAAGGCGCTAATGCGACCCTGGGATGTATAAACAGGGGAATCTTGAGTAGGAGAAGACGGGTTATTTTACCTCTGGATTTGGCCCTGGTGCAACCACTGCTGGAATCCCATGTCCAGTTCTGGTGCCCACAATTCAGGAAGGATGTTGGTAAATTGAAGAGGGGTCAGAGCTGAGCCACAAGAAGGATTAAAACCTGCTTTATAGTGATAGACTCCAAGAGCTCCATCTGTTTACAAGAGAAGGTTAAAGGGTGACTTGATCCTAGTCTACAAATACCTACTTGGGGCACAAATATTTAATATTGGGCTCTTCAGTCTAACACGATCCAATAGCTGGAAATTGAAGCTGGACAAACTCAGACTGGGAATAAGGCATCAGCTGTTAACAGTGAGCGTTAGTCACCCTCGGAACGATTTACCAAGGGGCGCGGTGGATTCTCCATCACTGACAGTTTGTAAATCACGATGGGAAGATGATGTAAAAGCTCCACTCGAGGGATTATTTTGGGGTAGTTCTAAGACGTGTGTGATGCGGGAGGTCAGACAAGATGATCACAATGGTCCCTTCTGGCCTTCGGATCTCTGCAAAATGACAACCCAGGGCCAAGACGTGTGGGTCTTAGTGCCCCCTCTGGCCGGGATTCCCACGCAGAGACAGACACCCGGGATAGGCCCATCTCTCACCACTGTGCTACTTGCTTATTTTCAGCCAAGAAGACGCCCCCCTGCCCACGCTGCCCGCCCCATGTCACTGCTACGTGCCCGGACGGCTGGGTGGGATACCAAGGGAAATGCTACTACTTCTCAGAGACTGAAGGGAACTGGAGCACCAGCCAGAGCCACTGCTCTTCACTCAACGCCTCCCTGGCTTCCATTGATTCCCTGCCGGAGCTGGTAAGGAAGTGACACAAACCTTCATAACCACAGCTAGGGACATGCCAGAGCCTGGCGCCCCCCGAAGGCCTAAGGCAGCTCCTAGATTCAAGGAACTGGTTGTAAAATGGAAATTCAGGGGCAGGATTTGACATTTTTAATAGAAAAAATTGATTTTTTCCCCCAAAATTTTCATTTTATTTTTAACTTCAAATGTGGTTTCATTTTGGGTTTTTTTTTTTAACTCCAAAATCTCATTTTTCCAAATATTAGGATTTTTTTTCCTTTCAAAAAAGGGAGGAATGGTAAAAAGCATGGGAAAGAGGTGTGGGAAACCTGCCTTTTAAAAAACAACAACAACAACAAAAAAAACTATATCCCAATTTTTTTCCCAGCAGGAAAACAGTGCAAATGTTACTTTGAAAGAGAACAGAACATTTTCCAACCAACAGTACATGCCTCACGTTTTATTTATTTATTTGCTTATTTATTTAATTTATTTATAAACCATCAATAAAGACAAGTGCAAAGTACTTCACCTAGGAAGGAAAAATCAAATGCACAACTACACAATGGGGAGTAACAGGCTAGGTGGTCGTGCTGCTGAAAAGGAGCTGGTGGTTCCAGTGGATCACAAATATGACAATGTGATGCTGCTGAGAAAAAGGCAAATCTCATCCTGGGGTGGATGAACAGGAGTGTTGTATGTAAGACATGGGAGGAGATTGTCCCGCTCTACTTGGCACTGGTGAGGTCTCATACTGTGTCCAGTTCTGGGTGCCTCACTTTAGGAGACGTGGACAATTTGGAGAGAGTCCAGAGGAGAGCAACTAAAATGATCAAAGGTTGAGAGAACCTGACCTATGAGCAAAGGTTTAAAAAACTGGGCGTGTTTAGTCTTGAGAAAAGAAGGCTGAGTGGGGACCCAATAACAGTCTTCCACTATGTTCAGGGTGTTTATAAAGAGGACACTGATCAGTTGTTCTCCATGTCCACTGAAGGCAGGACAAGAAGTAATGGGCTTAATTTGCAGCAAGGGAGATGTAGGTTCGATATTAGGAAAAACTTTCTAACTCTCACGTTAGTTAAGCTCTGGAGCAGGCTTCCAAGGGGGGAATCCCCATCACTGGAGGTTTTAAAGACCAGGTTGGACAAACACCAGTCGGGGATGGTTTAGGTTTATTTTGTCCTGCCTGAGCACGGGGGGCTGGATGATGATCTCTCGAGGTCCATTCCAGCCCCGTGTTCTATGATTCCCCAAAGTTGGGAAACTGTAAGAACATGGGAGGAAACACCCAGTTATGAAATGGGGGGGGGAGGGGGAAGTATTTGGGTTTTTAAATAAATTTTCCTGTGGAAAAAAATCATTTTGGATGAACCCCTTTGCCCTGTGTAGTTTGACTGGCAGCTCTTTGGGTGAGGAACCAGCTTTCTGTGTGTGCAGCACCTAGCGCATGTGGGCCCTGATCCCCGTGAAGGCGGCTGTAACACAGCTAAGGATATAATGTGTGTGTTCTTATCCAC